CCACTTATCGCTACCTCCAAGACGGCTAAGTATATTAACAACTATTAACCTTCGTTCCATTTTGATAGTAATGGAGGGCTTGATAAATATCGTTTCAAGTCTTTTAGATCCTATTGGCATTCCGGAGTCCATTCAGAAGTGAGAAGAAGTGATGGCATTTTCCGAGGATCAAGAAATAAACCTGCTTAGAGCGGCTAGTCTACCGGTTAGTCTTTGGACTTCTTTCACATTTGTCAGCTAGTTTTGAATGTCCTAGGTGGCTTTAATCTTGTCGGGATTGACTTTGATCCCTCTTTGTGACACCAGGAAATCCAAAAATTTACCGGAGCTGACTCCGAACGCACACTTTTCGGGGTTAAGCTTCATGTTGTGCTTCTTTAGAATGTCAAAAGTTTCTTGGAGGTGTTTTAGATGGTCACCAGCGTTCAAAGACTTAACCAACATATCATCTATATAAACTTCCATTGTTTTCCCTATTTGCTTTTCAAACATTTTGTTCACGAGCCTCTGATAAGTGGCTCTGGCATTCTTTAGCATGAAGGGCATTACGTTATAGTAATATGTGCCAAAGTTCGTTATGAACGAAGTTTTTTCCCGATCCTCCAAGTTCATCTTGGTTTGGTTGTACCTGGAATAGGAATCGAGGAAACTCATCAACTCATGTCCGGCCGTTGCATCAATCATTTGATCAATGTTTGGTAATGGGAACGAGTCTTTTCTGCGTGTCTTTATTCAGATCCTTATAATCTATGCACATGCAGAATTTATTATTCTTTTTTGGAACTACTACTACGTTAGCTAGCCAGTCGGTAAACTTTACCTCCTGGATTGAACCGATATTGAGCAATCGAGTTTCCTTTTGTTTGACAAACCTGTTTCAGACCTCGGCAATTGGGCGCTTCTTTTGCCTTACCAAAGGGATGCTAGGGTCCAGGCTTAACTTGTGCGTGGCCACCTCTAGCCAGATACCTGTCGTATCCGTGTGCGACCATGCAGAACAATCAATGTTAGTTTTAACAAATTCTATAAATCCTAACCTGAGCTCGGGGTTTAGTCCTATCCCCAAGTGGAACTTCCCTCTAGAAACTTTTCGAACAATGTCACTTGTTCGAGTTCTTCCGCCGTGGATTTAGTTGCGTCCATTTCTTCCATTACCTGGAAATACCTTGGTACTTGGTGGGATTCCGACGGCTCCTTCCTTTGTCGTCCTCGTTTGGTTCAGGAGCAAGCGCCGGTCCTTCTAATTTCTATACTGCGTGTTCCTTCCCTTTACTGCTGGAAGCCGAGACCGCGTTCATCTCCCTTGCTGTCGGTTGATCTCCTCTTACTTGTTTGATTCTCTCTGGAGTTGGGAATTTCAGAAGTTGGTGGTGTGCTGATGGTACGACCTTCATCTCGTAGTCATGGCATGCCAAGAATTATGTTATAGCCTATGTCGCCATCTACCACTTCAAATTAGGTAGTCTTGGTGTCCCCTTCGACATTCGTGGGAAGCAAGATCTTCCCCCGGGTTGTCAAGCTTGCTAAGTTGAACCCGGCGAGGAGTTTTATTGCCGGAATGATACTTTCAGTTAACTTGGCTTGCTCTAGCACTCTCCATTGAATGATATTGGCTGAACTTCCTGGTTCCACCAAAATACATTTAATTTTAAAATCGAGAACATTAAGAGAAATTACTAGGGCATGTTATGTTGCAATAGAAGTCCATCAGTGGCATCTTCTGTGAAGGTGATGTCGTCCTCGGCAACTTCACGGAGTCTCTTGCTTTGAGTCACCGATACTTTTGTCTTTTTTGTTTCGGAGAAGGTTACACCGTTGATTTCGTTTCCCCCAAAAATCATGTTAATGGTTTGCCGGGGAGGGTCTTCACCTGTCTTTGAGGGCTCTGCATTGTCCCTATTGCGGCCATAATTATTTTTAGCCCGGTCGCTTAAGAACTCTCTGAGATTTTCATTTTTCAACAACGGTGCCACCTCTTCGTGTAAATGTCGGCAGTACCCAGTCCGGTGGCCGTTAGTCCCATGATACTCGCACCATAGATTAGGGTCCCTCTGTCTGAGATCTCATCGGCCTCGAGAACTGTGCTTTCTTGATATTCCTCGTTGTCGATACTAGCTACGCTGACATTGAAATTGTATTCGGACAGCCTGGAATAGGTGGAATCCTAGGAGCCCGATACTTCTTTATCTTGCAATGACCTACTATTCCGGCCACAGACAATTCTTCTATCTGTAGCGAATCTATCCGCTGACTAGAACCCTCTTCCGCGTCTTTCGGCCCTTTCGTAGGGCAAAAACCGACCCTTAGAAGATTGCCAATCTACATCAAAATCATCCTTCAATTTATCCTTGTTCTTTTCTCGATCTCGGCCCTTATTTGATGCAGGGAACCCGAGCTGATTATCTTCTATTCTTATCTTTGACTCGTAACGGTTATGGACATCCGCCCATGTAGTTGTCTGGAACTCGAGCAGGCTTTCTTTCAGTTTTCGGGAGGCGTCGGAGCTTCTTAGGTTCAGCCCCTTAGTAAATGCCTCGGCGGCCTATTCAGCTGGTACAACTGGTAGCAGCATCTTTTCTTTCTGAAACCTGGTTACGAACTCATGCAGCAATTCGAACTTTCCTTGCACAATTATGAATATGTCCTTTTGAGCCTATACCTTCCTGGACCCGGCATGGGCCTTGATGAAAGAGTCTGCGAGCATCTCAAACAAATCTATTGAGTGTTTGGGTAAGAGTGAATAACATGTCAGGGCCCCCTTCGTGAAGATTTATCTGAACTTCTTCAGCAAGACCGACTGAATTTCGTGTGGAGCCAAGTCGTTTCCTTTCACCGCCATTGTATAGGTGGTGATGAGCTCTGAGGGTCCGAAGTCCCATCATATTTTTGTACATCTGGCATTTTGAACCGTTTCAGAATTAACTCTGGTGTCGCGTTCGATTAAACTTCAATTGGGTGTATTTATTTGAGTTCGGTCCCTTCAACACCGGTGGTGCACCCAAAATTTAGTCCATTCGGGCATTTATTTCCCTCATAAACCGCTCCGTCACCGGCCACCCCGGCCTCGTCGAAGCCGACCTCACTGAGCATTGGGAGGAACTAGGCCTCTTCCATTCGCGTTGTTGGAAGCACCCGACAACACTTGACTTAACTCTTTCATGGCCTGGTCTTGCCGTGAGAGATGACCCATGATTTCCTTTTGTTGTTCTTTCAAGATCCTCACTATTTCTGCTACGTGCTCGTCCTCAACATCTTCAGGAGTCGGCTCCCGTACGTGCTGGGGATATCGCCCGCCATGAATCGACGTTGCTACATCCTCCTCGTTGTGGGTATCACTGATCGAATCCTCTTGTTGAGGCAGGTTCTCTTGTGCCTCAACGTTGTGTGCGATGTTGACATCGTTAGCTACCATTTTTTACAATTTTTGCCAAGAAACGAAAAATCAAATAGATTAGTAATAGATGCAAGGATCAACTCAATTACGCAATTGTCTAAGTCTCACGTTGGGCGCCAAACTATTTACCCATAAAACGGTACAGTTAAATTTATAGCGTGGTTTATATACAAGCGAATCGATTTGATCTTAAAATGATAAATAATTAAATAAAATGCAAGACATAGTGTTAAAATCGAGATAAAATAGCAGACAGCTTGGTTTCGGGAGCAAGGCTTCCGAAGGTAGCAATACGAATATCGTTAGATAGAAAATAAAGTAGTATTTAGCTTGGAATAATGTGTAGCATAAGTTTGTCAGATTTTCATGTCTTACAACGACTGTTGAAGTCACTATTTATAACTAAACCTAGGGAATAAGGTCCTACGATCAGGCCCCTCTTAGATGACAAAAATGGGAGGCATTGATGAATATGTAACGACATGTAATGAAAGCCAAAATTCTCTGTAACGGACGTGTATTCAATACTGAGGAATATTCTTCATTTAATGTCATCTGGTGGCAAGTATTCGTTACCCTCATTAACAATGTTCCTTTCTGGGTCTACCCGATGCCAACCAAAGATGTTGTCCTCGGTCTTGATTTCCACTCGCTTTATTTCTGTCTTTCTCCGGTTCCACGCGTCATTCTATCATTCGAGTATTTAATGTGAAGCGATTTTAGCCTATACACTAATACAATCAAATTTTGCCAAAACTAGACTGTTAGGAATAGGAAGGCATTTTGCTAAAATTTCAAGCTAAAAGAGTTTCTTTACTCCTTTATTTTTTTTCATTAACTCCACAAGAAGTCCTTGATAATTGAAATTTAGTTGGAAAATTATTTTTATTTCTTGCTCTTTTATTTTTTTCCGTATTAAAGGTGTAGTTTGTGGGGTAGTGTGGAGACAGCTTTCTGCCACTGCCACTGAACAGTTGGCCTCAATAATTGAAATTCTAAAATAATTCGAAATTTATTTTGTACTGAATTATTGCTATTCATTACTTTTCATACTATTGGCGATTTGCACAGGGCCACAGAAGGTTGACAAAATCAAAATACTCTCTCTAGTATTCCAGTTTTAACAATGAGCCGGATGAAAAACGTTAGGCCAAAATAATTTCTACTCTACAAAATGAAATAATTATTGCAAACGATTATAGGTCTTATGACATGTTAGAGATACTGCAAATTTAAATTGCAAACATGTATTGGTAATCATTGTCGATGAGAATGCTCTTTGTTTTCAAATGAAATACAAGTATAATGAATTGATTGAAATTTGAAATTTCTCCATAATTAAAGGTCTAAAATTTGAATTTGTTAAAGATTTTTTTAATGTAGGGAGCGCGTTGCCCATGCCAAATCAACACAAACCTATATTAGTCAAAACAATGAACTTCGAATACCGCAAAATATATATATATATATATATATATTTTTTTTTTTACATATATAAGCACGAACGTATTTAGTAAGTAACAAAAATATATAGTAGTAAATAGTTAAAAAAAAAAAATTGAAAGCTATGGGAAAATGAAATAACAAACACGGTTGCAATATGTTATTCACAGCTTGATAAGTATGAAGATGTTTATTAATTGAATAAATGAGTTTTACTAAATAAAACAGTAAAATTGTAGTTATACACAACCACCCTTTCTGAATAACAATAATACTCGTTAAACCCCTTGCTAACTCCCGCCCAGCATCCCATTTTTCATAAATATATAATCAACTCAAGATAATTTAAAAAAACAAAATAAATAACAAAGTATACATAATTCCCAATCAAAAAAAAAAAGAAAAAAGAATTCCACTCTTCTCCTTCAAATCTCCATCTGTTAATGGAAAATTAAAGATAATGAACTGAGGCTAATGGTTAATTAACCCCTGGCTCAATAGTATGGAATGACTGGTGGTGGTGGAGATGCATAGGAGACTCCTACAACGGGTGGAAGTGGAATGTGTTCGTAACTTGGGGGTGGGGGTGATGGTGATGGAGGTGGGGGTGATGGTGGCGGCGGCGGTGGTGATGAGTAGTAGTAAGTTGGAGGGGGAGGTGATGGTGATGGTGGCGGCGGTGAAGAGTAGGTGTAAGTAGGAGGTGGCGGCGGGGGGCTTTGGGTATATGATGGTGATGGGTTATATGTAGGGGGTGGGGATGGTTTTGGTTGCCAGTGTGGGGTACTAGGTGGTGGGGTTGGTGGCTCGTTACAAGGTGGGGTAGGTGGGGCAGGATGTGATGGCTCCTGCGGAGGTGTGTACCCAGCTGGTGGTGATGGAGTTGGAGTTGGAGGTTTTGGATGCTCATATACTGGTGGTGGTGAAGATGGTGTGACATATACTGGTGGTGGTGGAGAGTGAGGCGTGTATGTTGGTGGCTCGTAATGTACTGGTGGAGGTGGTGGTGGCGATTGAGGTGTGTAGGCTGGTGGAGGTGGTGGTGGCGATTGAGGTGTGTACGTTGGTGGCTCGTAATGTACTGGTGGTGGTGATTGAGGTTTGTACGTTGGTGGCGCGTAATATACTGGTGGTGGTGGAGGTGATGGTGATGGGTGGTGGTAATATACCGGACTTGGTGGAGGTGGAGCGTGACGAGTTACAGGTGAAATTTTGTGGGTAGGGGGTGGTGGACTTGTGTGTTTATGCGACGGAGAAGTATTGTAAACAGGTGGTGGTGGTGATGGCGGAGGAGTTGATTGAGGTGGCGGCGGAGAGCGCTTAAAATGGGAACCGGAAGATTTGGAAGAAGGTGGTGGTGGAGATTGAATTGGTGCAACAGGTCTTGAGGGTGTAGATGGCTTTGGTGCTGGTGGTTTGTTTTGAACTGGTGGTCTTTTTGGCTTGGGGGTTGGTTTTGGTCTTGGTTTCACTTTAAAGCACTGAGATTTTCTGCAATCATATGGTTTTGCGTCATCAGAAGAGCATTCTTTAGCAGATCTTTGGTCCTCCTTTCCAGCAATGCAATTTTCTTCACCGTCAATGACTCTACCAGATGTAGTTGCAGCACAAACTGGAGCTTCCCCAGTAAAGTAATTGAAAGAATAAGTAAAGTTTTGCAACCTGGGAAGTTGGCAAATACTAGCAGGTATAACACCAGTGAGCTTGTTGTGAGCCACATTAAGTTGCTCAACACTCCTCATCCTGCTCACTGTTGACGGCAATGGACCTTGAATCTTGTTAAAGCTCACATCAAAGACCGTCAACTTCTTCAGCATTCCAATCTCCATTGGCAAACAACCAGTTAGATTATCATTCATCAGTATAAGCTCGTTCAGAGTGTTGCCCATTTTACCGATACTTGCTGGAATACATCCTCCAAGATTGTTATTAGCAAACACAAGAACAGAAACAGGAGAGTTGCCCAAGTTCTCAGGAATGCCAAAACGAAATCTATTATCATTTAGGAATAAAGCATCCAAATCTTTGTCGAAAAGTTTAGAAGGAACAGGCCCTTCAAAATCATTAAACCTTAGATCCAAGAACTTTAAAGAAGGCAAAGAAAGAACCACTTTAGGAAACCCACCAACAAACCTATTGTTGCTCAAATCAAGCTCCCTAAGAAGCTTTAAATGGCTAAAGGTTTTAGGTACGATACCACAAAAACGATTCGAGTTGAGGTGGAAAAGAACTAGATCTGTGAGAAGACCAAGTTCTGGAACTAAATAACCAGCAATATCGGCATGGTTAAGATCAATACCAGCTACAACTCTAATAGAATCATTGGTTAAAGATGGTGCACAAAACACACCACCATAGGAACAAACATTTGGTCCTGTCCAATTTGCAGTGAAGTTAAAAGGGTCAGAAAACATGGCTGCTTTCCATGTTTGTAACGCAATATATGCAACACGAAGCTTTGGGTTTTCGAAACTCAACTTATTAGCATCGCCCTTGATATCATCAACATCGATATCTCCTTCTTGTCCATAGATCTGAAATGACAAAAGGGAAATAACAAGAAAGGAAACGAACAAAGAATGAACGCGGCTAGGAGGCCGCATTGCTACTATTTTCTTGATATTATTGAATGGAGGAATCAAAGATGAAAGACAATGAAGGGAAAATATAGATATGAGAAACCAAAACTATGTAATGTGAATGTGTTTAGTTTCTTGTTTGTAAGTATGGAGAAGACGGGCATGTGAATGAATGAATTGATTTCAATTAAATAGCCAAGTAGCCACCTCTATTTATTCCTTCACAGCTCTTTGTGTTAAGTTAGTACTTGGGGACACATTATAATTACATGCCAGCACGTCTATTAAATTTTACTAATAAAATCTTGGTTTCAAATTTGAATTATTGACTTAATATTAAGATTCTTTTTTTTGTTTATTCTACAAAAAAAATTCAATCACTTCAATTTGCCAACTATACTACTACTCGTTTTTTGAAAGGAAAAAAAGGGTCAGAAAAAACAATGGCGGTGCCAGATTGGTATGCAAGTACTCACAAATTAAGTTTTATTAAGAGGGGCACCGATTTCAATGACAACGGCAGTTTATTACTTTGAAATATTAGTATATATTTGAAAAGAGAGTAAAGGAGATTTTAATAAACGAAAAATGTGTCGTGTAGTGGGTAGATTTCAGGGCCCCCACGTCTATCGTCTACGAGTTAAATGACATGCCAGCACGTCAAGACAAAAGTAAGAGGTGCTCAGGTCCCAAATAGCAAGTTTTTTGCAATAAAATATTCTTTAAACAAACACCCCAAAATTTTACTAAGGTTCGACATTTGGACCCGCGCAAAATTTTTTACTGCGGTAAAGATTTTTCTTGGCTTTAGAGAAATGAAGCGGCTTTATCCAGTGGAAAAAAGAGTTCTTTGAACAAGCTCTTGTTACGAAAATATTATACGCTAGATGTCTATTTAATACTTTACTATAGATAATTTTTCTGAAGAAAATTATCCATTTGGTACGCCATTAAAGTTTATCTATAAGTCGATGATACTGACAGGTTACAAGTAACTCAATGAAATGACTTGCATCAATTTTTTATTAAACAAGCAGGTTGCAAGTAGCTCAGGCAGACATCTTACAAGCACCTCAAGAAAAGTCTCACAGTTACTTTCCTTTTTCTATAAATAGATAAGATTTCAGTTCATTATATACATCAGTTTAAATTTAAATAATATATGAATCTATCTCTATATTTATCTTTCGTTTATTTACTTTATAATTTTTATTTTGTAACAACTCTCAATATTTTGCTAGGTGAGATTTTGGGCCACGTAAATTTGTCCGAATATAAAAGAATTTCCCCGCTTAATCAGGCGAGAAAAACTTGCATGGCAGTTGGCACCCAAATAAAGCTCATTTATGAAGAAATTAAGAATTCGGCATTAGGATTGCAAATTCAAGTATAAAAACATAGTACTACTAAATTAATAATAGATGATGAAAGTTATTCATAGAGCGAGTTACTTTATCGTTACGCGCTTTCAGTCCTTTTTAACCACCTTTTCATTTCCTTTTTCTCTTTTTTTTTTTTTGGGGGGGGGGGGGGTTTAAGGGGTGAAGACTAGGAGGTTAATGCCGTTTCTTCTCTTTTGCTATCTCTTAGCTAGCTGAAGATGAAATAAAATAGTTCAACTCGCTTGAGATCGCAATAATAATAGCGTTTATAATGGTACATATATTGTTGATGCAAACGCTATATGATAGGTTGTTCAAACCCGCTTGAGATTACAATAATTATGTTTAAAATTACATATTTATTTCTGATGCAAATTAAACGATAGGTTGTTCTTCCGTATTCAAAAAATAATTTTGCAATAAAAACTATTCAGGAGTTTTAGTATCATATTTTGTTATAAATATTATTTTAGTTGTATGATCTTTTTCAACAAAAAAATAATTTAAAAATAACAAAAAGATTTGTAAATTGTTAAGATTAATTATATTTTTTACTTGTTTATACAGTCAGGGTATTATTGTTAGCTTAGTTAGAGAGTTAGTTAGTGGTCAGCTTTGGACAACTGTTAGTTAGCTGCCAGTTAGTTGGTTAGCTTAGCTTCTTCTTCGTCTTCTCTTTTCATACTTGTATATAGTGGATGGAGTCCCATTAGCTTTACATAGTCTTTGAGTAAAGAATATCGAAATTCTCTTCTAGAATGTTCTTCTCCTCTCATCGAACGACTTCGAGTCCATGGGACTAAGCTTCCGCCATTGTCGCTGCTGCATTCCTCGCTGAGCTAAGGAGGAAGCTACTGTTCCATTGCCGTAATTTGATATGGTATCAGAGCAAGGTCAGAAACTCCGATTCATTTTTCCAGATCTGTTGAATCTGATTTCGTCATTTTCGATTTTGTTTTGATCGTGTGCATGCAGACCTTGATCTCATCGATTTCAATATATTTTCCTTAAAATCGTTCATCAGAGTTCTAGTTTTGTAGTTAGAATCCTGTCCTGGTCGATTAGTTGAATTTTACGCCTTATAAGAGATGGCTAATGATGGAGATGTTGAACAACCTGCACCAACTGTGGCTCAAACTCCTAATCAGCCAATTGTTGATACTAGTAGCCCTTTCTACATGCATCCCTCTGATAATCCGGGAATAGCCCTAGTTCTTGTTCCATTTGATGGATTTGGTTATTGCTCATGGAGAAGAGGTGTAATGAGAGCCCTATCGGTAAAAAATAAACTAGGCTTCATCAATGGTGACTGCGAAAAGCCAGATCCAGATTCCTCAAGCTATCGATTGTGGGAGAGATGTGATGATATGATGACTTCATGGATTTTGAATTCCTTGGCAAAGGAGATTGCAGACAGTGTTGAATATGTGACAGATGCAATCGAGTTATGGAAAGAGCTTGAAGAACGATATGACCAGACAAATGGAACAAAGCTCTACCAAATTCAAAGGAGATTAACGACTTGTCTCAAGGAGCACTTGACATTACTGGCTACTATACAAAAATGAAGAAGTTGTGGGAGGAACTCACTACTCTAATTACCAAATCTCATTGCACCTGCAATTGCACATGTGGTGTAAGGGAAAGTATGCACAAAGCAGAACAGGATAGAAGACTAATACATACAGTTCCTTATGTGGCTGAATGAGACCTACACTGTTGTTCGAGGAAGTATCCTCATGATGAATCCTCTTCCCACAATTGCTCACGCCTTCTCATTACTAATTCAAGAAGAAAGACAAAGAGAAATTAAGCCTCATAACTACTTAGCTCTTGAGTCATCAGCCATAAATGTCAACACAAACAGTTGAGCATCATTCAAGATAAATTATTCACCTAATAACTCTCAAGATAAACACCTAATAACACAATTGCTCACGCCTTCTCATTACTAATTCAAGAAGAAAGACAAAGAGAAATTAAGCCTCATAACTACTTAGCTCTTGAGTCATCAGCCCTAAATGTCAACACAAACAGTTGAGCATCATTCAAGATAAATTATTCACCTAATAACTCTCAAAGCTATAGAAACAGACCCTTCTGTGATTACTGCAAAAGGCCAGGCCACACGAGAGAGAAGTATTATAAACTTCATGGCTATCCTCAAGATTCCAATCAAAATCAGAATCCAAATCTAAGTCACAATCAAGCTTCCAGTTTCAATCAAAATCCAAGACAAAACTATAACATGGGAATAATTCAGGTGTAAGCCAAGGTGCCAAGTTCAACAGGGGAAATAGAGGAGTGGCTAATGCACATATAGCAACCACAGATACTCAACATACTGGTGATGAGAACTACAGTGCTCAAAACGTCAGTCTCACAAAGGAAGAATACAGTCAACTTGTGAATCTACTGCAGCAGTTCCAATCAGGAGGAGGGAGAGACAGCTCAGATAATGTCAACACCTCATCAGCAAATTTTGCAGGTATAATAGCTTGCACCTCCTCTATTGATTTTGGAAAACTCTCATGTGAATGTTTGAAAAACAAGACTTATTCATGGATTATAGATTCAGGGGCATCAAATAACATGACCTTTAATAGATCCTTGCTAACCAATATAATAACTTTACCTTATCCCCTACTTGTCATTCTCCCAAACGGCTATAAAGTGAAGGTGACTGAGATTGGTAGTGTTGTACTTACTCCTAAGATCACTCTGAATAGAGTAATGTTGGTCCCTTCTTTTAAATACAACCTAATTTATGTTCATTCTCTAGCTTCTCATCTTAATTTTCTTGTTGCCTTCATCAAGTCCTATTGTATACTGCAGGCCCCTTCAATGAAGAGGCCTCTGGTGATTGGTAGAGTCAAAGATGTACTCTACATCTTGTGTCCAAGGTGCTTGAAGAACAACAGTACAAGTCCTGGAGCAAATGTCTTTGATTTCCTCTCAACCCCTGTCACTCACTGCACTTGTAACACACAGTGTCCACTAGATTCCATTATAAATACAGTATCTCATGCCAATAAGTGTGTTTTCTCATCTTCAATTGTAAATAGTCCAAGTGCAAATAATGAAAAATAGTTTCTTTCAGAGAGTTCATTTTCCAATTGTTCTAGTCCCTTTTTCTCATCTGTGTGTTGGAAACCATGTGGATGTTCTGCGGCATAACAGACTTGGACATGTTCCCTTTGTGAAAATGAAAAGTATTTCTTCTATCCCTGTAACCTTTTCTCCCAAACAATCCTTCAATTGCACCATCTGCCCAATGGCCAGACAAGAAAGACTCCCATTTCCTCAGAAAATATCACGACCCGGATTTCTCACCCCCCGGGAGTCGTGATGGCGCCTACTAATGTGAGCTAGGCAAGCCAATTATTGAACAGATTACCTTTATCCATTTTTATACCTTTTTAGCATTCATAAAACAATAACGTGTAAATAGCGAAAAATTTAGAATAAGCGGAAGAAAGCAATAAAATATCTGAACATGGACCTAATACAACCGTTTAAGCCTTAATTACCCAGAATTGGTGTCACAGTGTCACAGGCGGTCTAAGAGTGCTAAATACAAAGTCTGAAAATTAAAGATATAATGTCTCAGAATCAAAGTGATGAAACAGGAAATAAGTGATAGAGGAGACTAAATTATCGATTCCACCAACAATCCGCTCTATCTACCCACAAGTTACTTAATTACATCAATAAACGCTAAATGAATCAATTCTAATGCATGAAAATAAGTTTTCTAAAGTTTTACCCAAAAGTCAAAAATCGCCCCCGGGCCCACATGGTCAAAACTCGAGGTTCGAATCAAACCCGATTACCCATT